TAAATAAATAAAAATAAACCGAAATTATTTCAAATCTTTTGCAATTAAGATAAGATAAAGATATCGCTGACCCTAAACTGCAACGTCCTACTTTATTAACTTTCTAAAGTGTCAAAATAAGTGGAAAAGACAAGTCCAAAAACGCTTATAATAGCTGGATCTGGCAACACGGAGGCTGCGCCCGCGCCCTCACTCACAGCTCTCTCAAGCCTTGTTCACTTCTCCAGCGTCTCACAGCGATCATTGTCATAACAGGGACGATAAACATTCTTGCAAACTGTCTAAACTGAATTATACATGTCATGCAGGCATTCATAAAGTTCAAGTTCAAGTTCATTTTATTTGTATAGCACATTTACAACAGCCACTAGGCTGACCAAAGTGCTTTACAGAAGAGAAAATTATAAAAGCATACACAGAAAGCAAACCAGATAAAAATATGAACAACCCATTTAAAAAGTTACCAAATAACAGTAATCGGTACACTAAGGAAAACAAATAGGTTTTTAGCAGGGACTTAAAAACAGCCAGAGAAGGGGCCATTCTCATTTCTAAAGGCAGGGTATTCCAAATTCGTGGCCCTGCCACCGCAAATGCACGCTCCCCTGCTTAAGTCTAACATGTGGAACTACCAACAAAGCCTGGTCGCAAGATCTTAGGCTTCTAGATGGAGTGTATAAATGAAGAAGTTCAGAGAGGTAGCCAGGAGCTAGGTTATGTAACGATTTAAAAACAAAGAGTAGAATTTTGAAGTCTATTCTCTGATGAACCGGCAACCAGTGTAGAGATCTGAGAATTGGAGTAATGTGTTCATGTTTGCGACACTTCAGAAGAAGTGCAGCGTTTTGGACTAGCTGAAGGCGCGCAATTTGAGATTTAGATATACCGCAATATAAGGAATTGCAGTAATCTAGTCGAGATGTAACAAACGCATGAACAGCCATTTCTAGAGTTTTTGGAGTGAGAAAGTCTCTGATTTTAGACAGTAGACGAAGTTGATAAAAACTGGATCCGATAACGGAGGAGATATGTTTATCAAATTTTAAATGCTGGTCGACAAGAACACCTAGGTTCCGCACCTGTGAAGATCTAAAAACAGATAAACTGTCCAAATCAGGGCGTATATACTGAGAATAGAACCAAGAACCAAAAACAGTTACTTCGGTCTTGTCTTCATTTAGGGAGAGAACATTTTGGGCGAGTTAACCTCCTACCTCCTCTAAGCATTGCTGAAGAGAGGTAATCGCTGCGGAATTGTTTCTTTTGATTGGTAGATAGATTTGAGTATCATCTGCATAGAAATGAAAAGAGACACCATGTTTCCTTAGAATAGAGCCCAGAGGTAGCATGTAGAGAGAAAATAGAGAAGGAGCTAATATAGAGCCTTGCGGTAGGCCACAGGTCAGAGGTGCATTGGAAGAGGTAAAATTACCCAGCTTCACTAAAAACTTTCTGTCAGACAGGTATGACTGAAACCAATTAAGAACGGTAGCTTTTAGACCCACCCAGGACTCTAGTCTGGATAAGAGTCTGGAGTGGTCAACTGTATCAAAAGCGGCCAATAAATCTAAAAGAATAAGAACCACAGAGTCTCCAGAATTAGTGGAGAGATAAATATCGTTTAACACTCTCAAGAGGGCAGACTCAGTGCTGTGAGCAGACTTAAAACCAGATTGAAAAACCTCATAAATACAATTTATGACATGAAATTAAAATAATTTTCTGATTTCCATTTACACATTATTTTAAGAAAGTGATCCTCAAATCTGGCTCGCGAGATCTACTTTCCTGCTGAGTTTAGCTCCAACCCTAATCAAACAAACCTACCTGTCATTTTCTAATGATCTTGAAGACATTGATAAGCAAACTCAGGTGTGTTTGATTAGGGTTAGAGCTAAACTCTGCAGGAAAGTGGATCTCATGAGCCATATTTGAGGATCACTGTTTTAAGATGTCCTTGTTACAATTATATAATTAAGAGTAATGTTAATTTAATAATGCTGAGTAATGTTAATTAACAACAAGTAGGTACCATAGGGCTAATTTATTGTTATTACTATATTATACGGATTTCATTTAGGCTTTTAATCACATATAAACACACACAGAGCACATCATACATGGTAAACATGGAAGCTTGTGTTAGAACAAACTAGAACATAACCTCATTGGTTTTCATGCATCGCACACACGTTTAAGCTTCCATAGCCTCGTTCTGTCAGCCCAAAACTGATTTTTGTGCAAATCCGATTGTAATCCTATCATATTTAGATAGTCTGAACGGCAACAAACTACATGAAATCCAATTTTTGCTAATCCGTTTCGAGCTACATTCATTTTTGGTTTGAAATCCTATTCAAATCGCGTTGCTGGAAATCCGTTTCAGTCTGACCAGTCAGATCAGATTTAGCATATCTTTTTCACTTCCTCATGCCACTTAGACCACGTGTCCACCAAAGCATTTTTTTTCCCCCGAGGCTGGCGTATTTTTATCAATTGTTGTTCAAATTGTGTTTTTTAAAACGCCAGGAGCATGCTGAGCTATTTATGTCTTTACCAGATGGAATTTCTGGACTACAATATTATTGTTATGAAAAATAATTATTGGAAAAATATTTAATTCGCGATGCGTCTGCCATATTACTTCAGCAGATATTCTGAATCATAGCATAACCTTAACCCTAATCCTAACCCTTTGGTATACATGCGGCCTTAAAGCAGTAAACATGTCAGACTTTTTTGTAGAAAACATGCTTAACTCTTTGCAGAATCAAGTTTGTGTTTTTTGCGAAGTGCAAGTCAAGTGAATAAAGACAATATACATAGAAACCAATGCAGATATTCAGTAAAACGATAGAGCACTACGGGACACAAATCAGATTTGAACAGTTGCGATACACAGTGTGGACAGTCAGTCATCCAGATTGGATTCCAATCGTATATGCACAAAAATCGGATTTGGTCTGACAGTCTGAACAAGGCTCATATTTATCATATGTGTTATGTTCTATTTATGTGTGTCAATTATTGTTTATACCTCTCCTACGGCCCGGCTGTCGAACTCGATACGTGACCGGTCCCACTCGTTCCACGATGGTGTAGGGACCTTGCCAGGTTGCCAAGAACTTGGAGGCTGCTGTGGGGACCAACACCGTCACGCGGTCCACCGGATGGAATTCTCGGGCTTGGGCGGGTCTGTCATACAGATGTCGCTGGGCACGCTGCGCGGTGATCAGGTGTTCTCGAACCAGCGGCATTACCCTGTCGATCCATTCCCTCATCTCCCGTACGTGCTCTACGAGGCTGCGGTTTGGGGTGGCTTGGGGTACCTCGCGGATGCCGAACAGCACATACGGGATCATTAGGTCCCAGTCGCGCCCATCTTCGGCCACCACCCATCGCAGCATTTGCTTGAGCGTCTGATTGAACCTTTCAACGAGCCCGTCTGTTTGGGGGTGGTAGACTGACGTTCTCAGCTGCTTTACTTGCGTTAGCTGCACGCAGGGGGATGGCTTCTGGGTAGCGCGTGGCGTAATCTAGGACAACCAGGATGTGTTCGTGACCCCGGGCCGACTTTGGCAGTGGCCCCACCAGATCCATCCCGATCCGCTCGAAGGGCACGTCGATGACTGGCAGTGGTATTAGCGGGCTGGGGGGAGGACGACGGGGGGACGTCCGCTGGCACATTGGACAGCTGCGACAGAACCGTTTTACCTCTGCGTCCAATCCCGGCCAGTGGAACCGGTCCCGAATGCGCAGTACGGTATTTTCCCCTCCCAGGTGGCCGGCCATCGGAAAAGCATGGGCCAGCTCCATCACCGTTTCCGTCTTGGTCTTGGGTACCACTAAGAGCAGTTTTTCCTGC